GTTAAGGACAAAAGACACATTTTTATTAAATTAAAAGCTGAAAAATAAGTTGATTGTAAAATGATTTGCAATTATTAAAAGATATTTTTGTTTATTAATATAGAAATTATAGAAACAGAATGTAATATATTTAATAAAATATATTTAATACTATTTTACTTACCTCATAAAAGTAGAAGAATAAGAAAAGTCAGTCATTTTCGAAAGACACCACTTGCAATACGAACTCGAAAATTTTTTAACCACAATTTTTTGAGCATAGCATTCTCTTTTGCACAAATTACATAAAAAAAAATCTTCAAATAGAGTGACACGTAAAATCCGCGTGCTGATTACATGAAACGAAAATCTTAATAAAATTTTATTAAAGTGTTAAAATTCAATAAGTGCAATCGCTTAGTTTAATCATTGAATAATTGTTTTCAATATTACCAATTATAATTGACACGTAGCTAATAAAATAAAATCGTATTACACAAATTTATCGGCTTATTATCGACTACCATTTAGGTAACGTTTTTCAAGAATACACCATAATTTTGTAACTTTTAATATATGTAAAATCACAGCACACGTAACATAAATATAATGGCGACGAAAGTTAACAGACTGTAAAAATGCTACATAATCTCATCAACAATGATTATACTATTAAATGATTGACATCATATTGGCAATCGAAAGTAGAATAATTCAAAAAGAGAAAAATTCAATGTTTATAAAGCATGTTTGAAAGCTCATGTTTTTGGAAACGATAACAATAGTTCTCCAATCAAAATGTTAAAATATCAATATGTAAATTTTTTATATTATTCTTCATACATTTTTATATTAAAATATATCTAAAATAGTTTTTACAAGAAACATTTCACAAATAATCAATCTTATTATCATTCAATTGATTATATTTTTTTACAATATTAAATAAACTCAATAAACAATATGAACCAATGAATATTATATAATATCACTGATTGTTTATTCTTAATTGCAATAAAATCCATATGCTTACTTAGTTCACTTAGAATCTATCTAACTACGGTATGTTTTATGCTTAAGTTTCATCTATTTAGTTGCTCACCTACATGCTTTTATATCCCTGTACATATTCTAATCAACGTTAGTTATTCTTTCGTTTTTAATCGTTTAACATTTTAAAGAATTGTTTTAAAAAATAGATATAATTGAAAATTAGTAAAATGATGTTAAATCTATTAAAATGTTTATCGGTCAATCATGGATTATTAGAATTAAAGAAATCATCGTCATTTTTAACATTAAGGCTGTCATTGAATACATCAGTAGTTTCTAAATGCAAGAAAAAGGTACAAATCTGTCATATAAAATATAATTAAAAATATATTTTCAATAATAAATTTGTAAATTATGATTTATCATTTTATCTATTTATTTTCGCATTTATTTCTTTCAATATTCTTACCAAAAATTTTTTAATTAATTGTAAAATATTTTTACGTAATCACTTAAGAATCAGACTTTAAAATAGTTTTGAAAAATATTAAAAAAAAAAAATACTATTTTATTACATATAATTTTACTAAATTTTTTTTTAAATATCATTTATAATATAACAATTGAATACGTTTGACATTTAATCTATAATCGTGCGTCAAGAAAATAAACGATTTTTTTAAAACAAACCAAAAATTATCGAACAAAATTTATAAATGGTATGAAACAAAAATTTTTATTTAAAAAATTAAATATGTATATTTTTTAAATTATTTATATATATGAATATTAACATGTATGTTTTATTTTTATTATATTTTATATATTTTATATGGCATAGTTATATATGTATATATAATTTTATATTTCAATTTTATATATATATAAAAAAAAATTTTTTTCATATTTAATTTATATAGCATATAAAAACACATTTGAATATTCACATATATTGATATATTATATAATATTAACTTTATAA